GGTTAAAAGCCTATATGATAGAGAACATCAATACAGGGGGAAATATAAAATTGCAACAAAGTCAAACGCCATAGTTTTTACATTTTTTTTAAATTTTATTGAATGAATGCAAAAAATGTCGGAAATATCATCAAATTTTAGAATAAGTTTAGATTTGTTCGAATTGGTCATCTTTGGCAAGAATTATGGCCTCAAATGGGCAATGTAACCGTCACACCCTGCACGAATGTTGCTCTGCGGTATTTTAGCCCATTACCGGCGAAGCGCTTGCTTGAGGTGATTGACACTTTGGTATTTGTTAGTGCCAACTTTGCTATCCAAAATACTCCAGACACAATAATCCAACGGTATATGGAGATTTTGGTGGCCATTGTGCTCTGGAAATGAAGTGAGGAACCTCATTTTGTTTTGCTAAGTCCTGTTGGAATGTCCAAGGTATGTGGCCAAAATATTTGCGTGGGCAAGGCATTAATACACCCTCCAGAATATTTTCGCGATAATATTTGGTATTTATTCTGATGCCACGGTCGATTAATAGGAGCAATCGGCTGTTAAGGCGGCCCACACCATCACCATGGCCGGCGCGTGAGTTCTGGTGGCCAACCGAAGGTGTACATTTTCAGCTGACCTCTTTGAAAGTAAACACGATCATTTTGTTTGTTTACAAGCTGCTGGACAACGAATGTTTTCTCATCGGAGAAAACCAAATTCGGCAGTTCGCCACTTTCGGCCAATCGAAGCAACTCTTTAGCTCTTGAGTCTATTTTCTTTCTGTTGCGGTGTAAGTTCTTGCACTTTTTGGAATTTTAATGGCATTACACCGAGCTCATTTTTCAAAATTTGCCGAATGGAATATTGCGATATGTGCAGCTCACGAGCCGTCTGTCCATGTTTTTTTTTTTTTTTTTTTGTACAAGTCATTTGTTTGGCTTAAGGACGAACCCTGTTGAAATTGGAGATAATCGGATCAGATTTAGATATAGCTCCCATATATACCGTCAACCGATTTCGGGTTAATTGTGCACCAAATGGCCAATATCAGTCCAAATTACCTGAATTTTGGCACATCCAACCAAATTCAGTCTAGAAGCAAGTACATCGAATTTGCTCCCATATATATGTTTCATCCGATTTGGAGTTATAAGTTCCTCACATTCGAAATATGCACTTCACAAGAATGACATTTGGTACCAGATATCTTAAAGAGCTCGGAAATGCCTTTGCGAAATTTTATCGATAACGGCTAAGATTCGGATACAGCTACCATATATATCCTTAATCCGATTTCGGGTTTATTGTGCAAATAATGGCTAATATCAGCCCAAATGGAGAAAATTTAGGGACGTAAGATTTCATTTGGTGGAACTCGGCTCCAGTTTATACCCTCCACCATACATAGTATGGGGGGTATATTCAGTTCGTCATTATGTTTGTAACTAATCGAAATAATCATTTTAGACATAACAAAGTATATATATTCGTGATCAGCGTAAAATTCTAAGACAATTTAGCCCTGTCCGTCCGTCCGCCTGTCCGTCTGTTGTAATCACGCTGGAGTCAAAACGAATAAAGATAGGAAGCTAAAATTTTGCACAGATCAGTCTTTTGTCTGCCACGTCGGTCCATGATATTGTATAGCCATCATACAACGGTATCCCCGATATTCGGTATTTAAATGATTTTAGCCAGATTTTCCAATGGAATTGTCTGAAAATCCACACAAGCGGTTCCTTCTAAGTACTTTACCCTCTGGGAGAGAATTGTCTATATAAGTCTACGATATCATATAGCCCCCTTACAACGGTACCCCCGATATTGGGTATTTTGATGATTGTAGCTAAATTTTTCAATAACATTGTCTGAACATGCACATAAGGATTTCCTTCTGAGTATTTCATTCACTGGAAGATTATTGTCAATATAGGTCCACGATCAGTGTTGCCGTTTTGGGCGTTTCCGTCCAAATTTGGGCGGAAAAAAGATAAATTTTGTGGTTTGGGCGGATTTTTTCCATATTGGGTATAAATTTATTTTTCATTGTTTATTTTTACGTAATTTAAGTTTTTTAATAATATATATAATACATTAGGCTATAGTCGTGCGGGGCCGACCATGTGATATCCTACAACACTACAATAGTTTAGAAGCCCCCTCATGTCCAAATCCATTTTGGAAGATTTCGCTTTTGAAATTATGTCACGGAGCACTGCCCAGATATTACCCTTAGCATTTTGACCAGGGACATTTTCCCAATATTTATGCACTCCGTCGTGCTGTTAGTTTTTGTGGTCCATTTTACGGCTAAATATATTCCAATGGTCATCCAAAATGCTACAATTCTTCCCTGTCCTTAATTCTCTTCACAGGCGTGTCGATTGGCTTCAATTGTGTGATCAGGAATTTTTTTTTCTGTTTTTGGTTCATTTAAACCTCTAAATATTTTGCGATCATCTCCAAAAGCAATAGACCCCTCTGTGTCTCCAAATTTAGACTCATCTATTTGATTTGCTTGTATACGATATTTGGCTATATTCGTCAACGAAATCAGCAAAAAAAGCCAGAAGTTCCCTATTGTGTATCGCCTGTAAGTAATATTGGTATTTTTTTACACAAAAGTAGTGGTCCATTCTACCCGCTGTCCTAAGCTCTAACTTCATGCGAGATTTCGTGTCCTTAGGTTTATATTTGGGACCTTTATAACGGCTGCAAAATCCGGAACATTTTGAGTTGCTGGTCAATTTCAACCCCTAAATATATTGCGAACATCTTTGAATACAATAGGCTAAGCCCTTCTGAGCCTTACCCTACCTTTGTGAAAAATTTCGTGAGGATCGAACGATAATTGCAATCTGTATATAAATAATAACCCTAACCTGTGTTGTAAAGTGAAAAAATATTACAAAACAAATACTTCAATATTATAAGTCAATTTGAAAAAATTGCATGCGATAAAAAATATGAAAAAATAAAAAAATGTCACAAAATACTACAAAATCTATATTAACATCATTATTCGTATCTTTTTATGCGATTTTTTTTTGATTTTATACTTTTATGCCAAAAGGGCATTCTAAATTGACAAAATTTGTCAAAATCGCTCCAGCCATTCTGAAGATATAAGCATTCTAGCTGACATCCCCTTCCTTTGTATATATACATTGTATATATTTCTCTATATATATCCGATATTTTTATTATCGGCATCTACGTAACGGTCAGAATTGACCTGTTCGTCTATTTGTGATTTCGCCGGCAGTAAAAATATTCGCGGATTAATGGAAAATTTGAATTTTATTTATCGCAAATGCTATGGTCTACTAAACCACTAAATGTTACCCGATGACCATCAAAATTGGAAGGCTTCTGCCCAGTCCAAAATCTAGCCCAATGCTAAATTTCGCTTCGATTGGTCTATAATTGTTGTAGTAGAGCAATCAGGAAATTTTTCAGTTTTTGGTCCATTTCAACCCCTAAATATTATGCGATTATCTCCAAAAGAAATAGGGTTCTATTCCGACCTTAACCCCAGCTACATTCTAAATTTCGTGAAGATCGGGCCATAATTGCGACCTATAGAGTGATTACAAATCAACATGGAGAGACGGACGGATAGACATACATAGCTAGATCGACTCAGCTCGGCGAGATAGGACGATCCATATATACTTTCCTACTTTCCCCAACACATAGTGTTGTAGGGTATAAAACCTGAATAATAATAATGACTTTAATGTATTTAATTTATTTTCTCTAATGTATTTAATACATTGAATGTAATAAAACTTGAGTACCTTTTTTTATGTATAGTGTAAAATTTTCAATAAAATTTACTTGAATACAAACTACATATAAATTATTCAACTTTTTACAGTTTGGGCGGATATGGTCGATTTTGGGCGGTTTTTAGAAAAAATTTGGGCTGAAATAAAAATTTCAAACGGCAACACTGTCCACGATATCGTTTATCCTCCTCCCTATATTCCGTATTTTGATGAGTTTAGCAACATTTTTCAATGGAATTGTTTAAAAATCCATTCGAGAAGATCTTTCCAAGCACTTTACTCCCTGAAAGAGAACTATCTATATAGGTTCAAAATATCGTTTAGCCAATATACAACGGAACATGGTTCTTGTTTTAAATATGAAATTGAAAAAAAAAAAATTATGCCAAGCAAAAAAAATCGAAATCCATAACATTTTTATAAAAATTGTATAAATTTCTCACAGAATAGGAACAAGTTAACTGTTAATTGTTTTGGCCAAAGATTCAAGTAACAACTAATAGACCACGACAGAATGGTCTCACACCATATATGGCACACAAAAACACAAGTAAAACTCAAATAAATGAGAAATGATGTTAAGCGCAAGCCAAAGAAATAACAGCCATAGTCTGACGACCACTACAACGACAACGACGATGTCGAAGAAGAAGATGTAATCGCAAAATATGCCGTTCCGTGGCCAATGCGTATTTATGGCAACAAATATGGTTGTTAGAGTAACAAATTATGATGAGATTATTAATTACACATGACCACAAATGGAGTGGATATACCAAATTTGGTGGGATTACATGTGGCGAGAAGGAGCAGCAGTAAAAACAAAAGCAACACGGAAAACTGAAAACATCATTAGAGCTGTTGCAGATGATAAATTTGGCATAAGTATGTAACTCTTGACTATGGCACTTCCACTTAACCGGAAGAATGTGTGTTTGTGGGGCGAATAACATGAAAATGGTCTGGTGTGTGAGATACTCGTAAAGAGGAATTTAAATGTGTGTAAGCATAAGGAATTTAACATGGAAAATTCTAGGATTATGGTTTAGTGGGCAAAGCAACGAAATGTTGGTTATGACGGGCAGACTGGGTAACAAGCTTACGCCGATTAATAATATGGAGGAAAAAAACGAGTATATATTAAGAATAAATTGACTCTATAAATAACCATTGCCGTATTTTTACATTTTTAATCATTACAATTAAATATCTACTTACCTTGTTGTCATATAAAGGCGCTTCCGCTGCATCAGATGCATCACAGCTGTTGTCTTTATTGCTGATGGCAGCCGCATTGACATTCTTGTCCTCCGCCGTAACCACATGACCGTTATCGGCAACATTTGAAGTGTCCGTCTCAATCGATGCCACATTACTACTGCTGGCACCACCTCCACCGCTACCCGAAGAATGTGGAGTACTTCGGTTTGCAGCCTCTTTGGTATGTTCCGTTTGAAAATGCGTTTCCAAAGCCGTTGGATTCGGAAACAATTTAAAGCACAATTGGCAAATATGAGCTTGTGGTGGCAAACCTGCAATACAAGTAAAGTGAAGATATGCGAAAAATAAATTAAAGCTCGCGCCAAAAGAAAAAATCACATTTCATAGAATTGAACATTAATTTTTGTCAACACCGAACACCGTTTAATTACTAAATGTCCCATAAAATCGCAACGTATGTCAATTGGATATAAATTTTCTTTTCCGAGATAGGTTTTTTTGTGTGCCATGGATGCAATGGCAGATTGACAAGAAATCAAGTCACACGCACAAAATGTAAGCACGCCTAACTTTGTATGAGATTTTCTTTTTGGTGCGAATTGTTTCCTTTGTTGGCTGTTTAATTTTGCTGAACGGCGCTGACATAAAATGAAAATATTGCCATGTTTAAAATTAAAATATATTTATTTTCATTTGTTTTTAAGTTGATTTAAGGAAAAACAAGTGAAAAGTGTCGAGCATAGACGACTATGGAGGGTATATTAAATTTTTCATTCCGTTTGTAACTCCTCGAAATATTTATAACAGACCCCACAAAGTATACATATTCTGGATCAGCGTAAAAATCTAAGACGATATAGCACGCTATCTTTCGAACGATATAAGATAGAAGGCTTCAACTTTGCATACATGCGTAGTTTACCAGCATGCAGATTAATTTCGTAAATGGGCCATGTCGGTCCGCGTTTTCGTATAGTCCCCATATAACGGTAGCTCCCGATATTCGGTATTTTAATGATTTTAGCGACAGTATTTACCGGAATTATTTCAAATTTCATATTAAAAGTTCGTAATGGGTTCTACAGTCTATGAAATAAATGCAGGTCCACGTCTTCGTATAGCCCCCATATAATAGTATCTCCCTATTTTCGGTGTTTTGATGATTTCAGCAACATTATTCGCCGGAATCGTTTCAAATTTCCTGTTAAAAGATCTTAAAGGGCTCCACAACCTATAGAAAAAAATTGTATACAGGTCTTCGTATAACCCCACGTCTTCGTATAACCCCCCTATAACGGTACCTCCCCATATTAGGTATTTTCCTGATTTTAGCCACATTATTTACCGGAATCGTTTCAGATTATTGTATTTGAAGTTCGTAGTGGGTACTACAGCATTTGTACCCACGATTTTGTATAGCCCCCATATGACGGTATTTTCATGATTTTTGCTACATTATTCACAGGAATTGTAACTAATTTCGTATTTAAAGTTCGTATTGGGTACTACAGCCCATCAGAGATGTCCCCAAAACAGAACTTATTTGTTACTTTGCAGGCGCTCTACAAGTCAGTACTAAGGACCAATCGACGTGGAATTTTGCATGAGGTCTGAATATTGTACCGCCCGGGAGTCAGTCACCATAAATTGTCATGGTATAATATTTTGTGGGTGAAATGGACCTAAGGAAGTGACCTGATGTTGCATATTATGTCCTCCTGATCCAAGTCTGATACAAATATTACAATGTATGAAGTCACGTTTAGACGGATACTCCTACAATTTCAATACCCTACAACAAATATGTGTTGGAGATATTATAAGTTTGATTGGCCAAAAAAAAAATTAACATCTCGAAATATTGGTCCCCGACATAGGAAGCTATATATGGATCTTCCTATGTCGCCGAGCTGAGTAGATCTAGCTATGTACGGCGTCTGTCCATGTTAATTTGTATTCACGCTACAGGTCGCAGTTATGGCTCTCACGAAATTGAAAATGGAGGTGGGGTTAGGTTCAGAATAGAAGCCTATAATTTTTGCTCTACAGGCCACAGTTATAAACCAAACGACACGGACTTTAGCATGGAGTTAGAATTTAGGGTTGGGCAGAAGCCAACCAATTTGGCAATATTTAGCGGATAAAATAAACCATAATTTTTTTGTGAAAAAATTTCGAAAATGTTTCTTAAGTTTCTCCCCGCAACAATCCGATCCTTATAAAGTTTAGCTAGGGGGGGTAGGGTGTTTTGAATACCTAACAACACGACGGAGTGCGTAAATACTTAGAAAATGCCCTAGGTCAAAAACATAAGGGTAACATCTGGGCAGGACTCTACGACATAATTTCAAAAACGATCTATTCTAAAATGGATTTGGATATAAGGGGCTTCCAGCATATTGTAGTGTTGGAGGGTATCACATGGTCGGCCCAGCACGATTATAGCCATTGCTTACTTGATTTGTATTGAATTAACAATTTATTGAAAACTTAATTTTTGGTGAAGGAGTGTGCCCATGTGGTCCATCCTCGCTTTTGGTTTAGTGCTAATAGAAAAATGAAAATTTGGAAGGTGCCAGAGGGAGTGCCACGACATTGGACATTTTTAAGCAATACCAAGGTTTGATAAAACTATTTCAATATGCCCAGTTTGAACTTTATGGGGTACTCTCATAACTCAATATGAGATTTGTTTTGAAACAAAAAAACTTTAGAACACTTGAGGGGAGTAGCACCAGAAAGACTAGGCCTTTATTTCCCATCTTCCAACTTGATCTAAGTGGAAAACAAGTAAGAAAGCAGCCAAGTTCCTCCATTTGAAAGGACCTTGAAAATTAAACAAAAATGCCGCCATAATTTTTAATATTCTGTTGAATGGGCCTAGACAGCAAATTATCTGCCAGAGAAGTTGGTTCCTTTGCAAATTTAAGATTATCCTGTTGAAAATTCAGCTAAAATCATCAAAATATCGAATATTGGAAAGTACCGATATATGGGGACCATACTTAGTCGTGAATATGTATTTATTGGCAATTTTCTGTCGAAGCTCAAATTCAGAATTAGAAATAATTCTGGTGATAAGTGCTTCAAAATATCGAAAAGGACCCTTATATTGGCTATACGATACTAAATTTAAAAAAATTCCGATGAAAACTATGACAGAAATCATGAAAAGACTGTAGGTAGAGTTCTCTACAAGAATGTTTTCCCAATGTACAGCAAATTTAGCTTGCAATGTTGACTAAAAAACCTTAAATATGTCGGTACAGTTATATGGGACCTATACCAAAACGTCGATCTGCAGGATCTGCATATTGGATGATGATCGGATATTTATATTTTGTAAAATGGATTACAACATGTGTGACATTTTTGGAATACCTACCGGTCAGAAATCAAAGGCAACATTTTTACAGGACGGTATGATTTTATTAAAAAACAAGTAAAAAAGCTGTAAGTTTGGCCGGGACGAACTTTGAATACCTTCCACCATTTGATACAAATTTGGCAGTTTTCAAAAAATAAAATCCGTTAAAAATTTTGATAAAATCTTAAAAATACCGAATGTAGTCGTATATTAGGGTCTATACGACGACGTGGACCTGCATAGGCAACTTTTGTCACAAGCTATTACAATATTCAAATGCGAAACTTGAAAAAAAATCTGTTTATAATGTAGCTAAAATCATCAAAATACCGAATATAATAAGGAGGTGCCCCCCATGCCCAGACAATTTTCTGGCATAGGCTGTAGTATGCATTACGAACTTCAAACACAAAATTTGAAATAATTCCGGTAAATAACGTCGCTAAAATCATCAAAATACCGAATATCGGGGGTTCCGTTATATGGGGGCTATACGAAGACGTGGACCTACATGGCCATTTTCAATACCAAAAGTCCTGCAGACATAATGCACCTTTGAGTAAAATTTTATCAACCTACTTCATTTCGTTTGGAAGCTAGTGTGATTTTCACATACGGACAGACGGATAGACGAACATACGGATAGACGGTCGTATTGCTAAATCGTCATAGAATTTTATGCTGATCAAGAATATATATACTTTGTGGGGTCTAAAATGTATATTCCGAGGTGTTACAAACGGAATGTCAAACTTAATATACCCTCCATTCTATGGTGGAGGGTATAAAAATCGCCCAAAATATGTTTGGACCTAAGTGGGTTGTCTAATATATTATAGTGAATTGACTATACCTTTTGCTCACTGTCTATATTTCTCCTTGTGGAGCGTATAAAAAGTTCGGTTTGACCTGCTTCCTATTCGACTTGTAAATTTGTGGTACCCCATGAAATATTTTTATATGTTATATTGTAGTGTACGATCAAAACAAAAAGAAACAACTACAACATTTCAGTTCTCATATTGAATCATCATCGGAAAATGCCCTATTTGAAAAACACTCTTTGTTGTTTGGGTCCAATTGAATTATGTCGTTCGTTTTAAGCGATTTTTATTTATAAATTCCTCTTTGGTGTGATATATTTGCTGTTGTCGTTGTCTTTTTGTTTCTGCCGGTCAAAGGTGACAGACAAAACGGCTATATCATTTCTTGAACGCCAACAAGAATGGAGGAGTGTGCCACTCACTCGCTTGCCATGTACATACATATGTACTCGTATGTATGATGTGCGTGAGTGTGTCACCGTCGTCGTCACATGGCAAACTGTTGTCTCTTATGCGCCACTATTTGCGCCTTGTTACACACATTGAGGCAGGCAATGCCATGATTTAAGTACTGAAATTACGCTTTAAATAACATCTTTTGACAGTGATGGAAATTTATGCCGGAATACCAATTTCCTTCTGCGCGTTTTCTTTTTCGGTAGTTTCATCATCATCCTCCCATTGATATGTCTTTGTTGTTCTTTTTGTTTTGGTAACAATAGCGTATGGAATTATTTCCTAGCATTGTTAGCGAATTGTGTTATTCGATGGTGATGTGACGATGTTGCAGGCCAAAAAATATTGCGTAGACAAATATTATGGAATCGGAATTTATTGAATAAATGCTTTGAAATATTGCAAGATACTATTATACATAATTCTTAATTTAATGTTATATATGTGATTTTCTGGAAAACTGCCCTCAGAAGACTTATGTATATTCATTTTCAGCTATTTGTACTGTGTTGTGCAAACTTTTGAAGGCTTTCAATATCAAATAACTTCGAAAACTGGAAACTTTTATTTGCACTTTTTATTGAAGAACTAATTACTGTAATCGCATTTTGCTTTCTCGATCATAATATGATACTTCAAGCGGAGGTCCGGGCGATTGCAGTGTGTCTAAACTGACTTAATACCAACACGAGACCGGCTACCGAAAACTTCCTAACGGACATCGCAATAATCCAAGACATTAATATCAACAAGTAAGCCAAGGCTATAGTCGTGCATGACCGACCATGTAATACCCTACAACACTATAATATGTTAGAAGCCCTCTTATGTCCAAATCCATTTTGGAAGATTTCGCTTTTAAAATGTCATGGAGCACTGCCCAGATATTATCCTTAGCATTTTGACCAGGAACATTTGCCCAATATTTACGCACTCCGTCATGATGTTAGTTATTGTGGTCCATTTTACAGGTAAATATAATCTAATGGTCATACAAAATGCTATAATTTTTCCCTGTGCTTAACTCTCTTCTCAGGCGTGTCGATTGACTTGATTGATTGATCAGGAATTTTTTTTCCAAATGCAAGAGGCCACTCTGTATCGCCAAATTTAGTCTCATCTATATGATTTGCTTGTCTGTGATATTTGGCTATATTCGTCAAAAAAAAAAAAAAAAAAAAAAAATAGCCAGAATTTCGCCTGTTGTGTTTTTTGGATTCCGCCTGTAAGTTATTTTTTTAGCGTTTGGGTTGCCCATATTCGACGGACCCATCTGGCAACGCCATAACTTTTGACAGAGATGTCACATCGCGTTTGAAGCGTCAGTCCAAGCAGATTTTTACCATGAACCAATACACGCCACGCGAGCGCTCTGAAATAGTTGAAATTTACATTCAACAGAAGAAGTCAATTGTGAAAACTCAACGTGCTTTTAAAACATTAAAAAAATGTGAGAAGTGCGCCTTCTAAGAACACCATTAAGCGTTTATACGAAAAATTTTCGACTGGTAAGGCTCTTTCTAATCCGAAGAGGCCATATAAAAGTCGACCAAGTCGATCGGCAGAGAATATCGCTGCCGTACGAGCCAGTGTTGAGAGGTCCCCAAGAACATCCCAAAAACGACGTTCCCAGCAGTTGGGCGTGGCTCGGTCCACTTTACAACGGATTATTCGCATTGATTTGCATTTGTTCCCGTACAAAATTCAATTGACGCAAAGAATGTTGCCTGCGGACAAGCCTCGTCGATTGGAATGGGCCCAAAGGGCCTAAAGGTCCGTCGAATATGGGCAACCCTATATATATATATATTTCGCTATATATATCCGATATATATACTAGCGGCATCTACGTAACGATCAGAATTGACCTTTTCGTCTATTTGCGATTGCACCGGGATTAAAAATATTCGCGGTTTAATGGAAATTTGACTTTTATTTAACACAAATGTTATGGTCTATTTCACCCACTAAATATTACCTGATTACTATCAAAATTGGAAAGCTCTAAGCTCTAGCCGCATGGTAACTTCCGCGTCCAAAAGCAATAGGCTTTTATTCTCTAGCCTCACTTCCATTCCGAATTTCGTGAAGATCGGGCCATAATTGCGACCTGTATAATGATTACAAATAAACATGGACAGACAGACGGACGGAGATACATAGCTAGATCGACTCAGCTCGGCGAGATAGGAAATATTGTTGGAAACCAATATTTCGAGGTGTTACATAATTTTTGGGTCAATGAAACTTATAATACCCCCAACATAAAGTGTTGTAGGTTATAAAAACTGTATTGGAAAATAGAAATTCAATCTATAACTATTCTCAACACGGCTCAGTTCGCATTATATGGGTACGAGGTCATGTGGGGATCAGAGGTATCGAGATATCAAACTGTGTCGCCACAACAGGTATTTTCTAAGGCCAACCTTGCTTTTCAAAATACTCCAGACACAACAGTCTAACGGATTGGAATCCGGAGATTTTGGTGGCCATCGTGCGCTGGAAATGAAGGGAGGAACCTTATGTCGTAACCATTCTTGGGTGGCGCCTACTGACTGCGATGATGCTGAGTCCTGTTGGAATGTCCAAGATCTGCGGCCAAACTTTTTGCGTGCCCAAAATGCACCCTCCAGAATATTTTCGCGATAATATTCGACATTAATTTTGATGCCACGGCTTTCGGCTGTTAAGACGACCCACATCATCACCATGGCCGGCGCTTGAGTTCTGGTGGCCAACCAAAGGTGCACATTTTCAGCTTACCTCTTTGGCAAGTAAACACGATCATTTTGTTTGTTTACAAACTGCTGGACAACGAATGTTTTCTCATCGGAGAAAACCAAATTCGGCAGTTCACCACTTTCGGCCAAGCGAAGCAACTCTTTAGCTCTTTTGAGTCTATTTTCTTTCCGCTGCGGTGTAAATTCTTGCACTTTTTGGAATATCAATGGCTTTACCCCGAGCTCATTTTTCAATATTTGCCGAATGGATATTCCGATAAGTTCAGCTCACGAGCCATTTTTTGGCCACTGCGACGTAGGATTCGATCAAGTCGCTTCTTTACTTTTCGAACTATTTCTGCTGATGTTGCTGTTTTTTTTCCATCCACTTTTTTGACGACGGGCTACGCTACCAGTATCACGGTAACGAGCGATGGTACGAGACACAAAAGATTTATTCACATTTAAATGCCGGAATGCTCTAACGATAGCCACTTGTTGTATTCCAGCCAAATATAAAGAAATTCCGAATAACTTTTTTTCTGGAAAATTCTCACCAAAATGCATTTGTACGCTCGTAAACAATATAATGATCTGTCACTGGAATAATTTTAACAGCTGTCGGACGAGTGGCTTAGAAATGAGAGCAGTCTGAAGTTGGTTGCTGTTGGGTTTTAATCCCAACCTGTATATTACGCATGTGAGGGAATTAAAACCCACATCTGATGAAATATATATGTGGGACCTACACCTATATCAGAACCAAATTTGATGTACTTGTTTCTACACTTAATTTGGTCGGATGTGCCAAAATTCAGTCCATTTGGGCTGATATTGGCCACTTGGTGCACATTTAAACCGAAATCGGTTGAGGATATTTTTGGGAGCTATATCGAAATTTGAACAGATTCGCACCAATTTCAATAGGTCTCGTCCTTGGGCCAAACAAATATTGTTTGGAAAATTTCATCTCAATCGGGAAATAAATGCGACCTGCATTTTCTTCACAAAAATATATGTACGGACGGACATATGGACTGTCCGATGCATAAATCGACTCAGAAAGTGATTCTATGAAGATCCTCATAAGTAACTATGGGTCTATCTCGCGCCCTTCTCCATGTTACAAAAAATGCACAAAGACTTAATACCCTTACCACTATAAATAAATAAGTTTACTAGGACCTATCCGTAGCCCAAATGTATTGACGTGAAGATAAATTCGTAAGCCAAATATTTCAATAGATTTTTCCATTCCACTTCTGGGTCCTAAATGTTATAAATTCCATAGTATTCAAAAAATGTACTCACCCATAAATCCTAATGGTCCAAATGGTAACAATGGAAATTTTCCCTGATTTCCGAGATTTTGTATTTCTTCGCGTGCGGCAGCCATCAGCCAAATATTCGGCGGCATACCCATCAAATGTGGCAGATGATCCAGAGCTCTTTGCGTGTGCTGAGAGGTGCCGTTACGGGCTGTCAAATCCATGGCTTGAGATAGACCAGATTCCATGGTATCTGGGCCACCACCTCCAACACTCTCGCCCTTTTCATCGGCATCTTCAAATTGACGTTTATCCAACGGCGTTAACGATAAGGTGTTTTCCCTTGAATCATCGGTACTCTCCATGGTCATGTATTCATCGAAATCACCCTGCGACGATTCCGAACGTTGACCAGAATATTCAGATGTTGTGGAGAAATCAAATGTCTCCGAGTTGCCCAGTGATTTGTTGGAATTTTGATCTTCCAATATGGCCGCCTCCATGTGGGCACGTATACGTTGATTGTGTTCAGCAATTGCGGCAGCCATTTCACTGGAGGCGCCAGCAATTTGTGGACCTCCACCCGACCCATCATCTATGGTATGGATACGTATGTGTTGTTGTAGTATTATTCCATTAGAGAATTTCTGATGACACACGGGACACTTGAACTGCGAACGCATTGGAGGTTTAATTTTGTGAATACTCATGTGAGCCTTAAGATTGCCCTTCGTGGCAAAGGCTCGACCACATATCTTACAGCGAAAGGGTCGCTCACCCGTATGTGTTCGAATATGCATTTGCAGGGAGCTACGACAGGACATGACCTTTTGGCAGAATATACATTGATTGGGATCTGTGAGTTTATTTTCAATGTTGTCGACCAATTGCTGGAGCTTTGAGGTTTCCGAAGTGGTATCGATTTCGATTAGATCTTCCCATGATTTGTCGACATATGTTTCTACTTGACAAAAATCGCCGGTTAGGTGTTCCAGGCTGCTGTTACGACTCAGGGAAGAAGACCGCCGAAAATGTTTGGATAGAGCATGGTCGTCGACGGCGGCGCTATCTCCTATGCCATTGCCAGGAAAACTTTTTCTAAATTCTTGGGGAGGTGTTGAGCTGTTCGAATTGCGTTTCCTATGTGAGCTATTACGTTTTGGGGTTACTGATGCCAGAGGTCGTTCAGTTTTGTCGATGATTTTCTGCGACTCCTGCTGCTGCTGCTGTTGTTCTATGCCTGTAGGTTCCATTAAAGCTTGTGGGGTTTTCACCCTTACCAAAGGTTTGGGTTTTGGCTCTTCATCCCGGCTGGGTGGTTTGCTAAGATCTTCGGGGTGCTCATTGTTTGATTTGCAACTTGCCGATGTTAAGTCTCTGGGAGATTCTTTCGGTTCTTCTTCTTCGTCTTCCACAGCGATTTCTTTGGTTTCTTCAGGAGTTTTCCTTCTTCCTTCGTTTTCATTCGTTTCCTTCACCTGAGATTTCTCAAAGGGCAGGGGCAAACGAATTGGCATGCCCAAGAGACCAGATGGAGGTGGTGGAGGAGGAGGGGGCGGCGGATGATGGGAATGGGGATGGGAGTGAGGCGCTGGTGGTTGAGCATTGATTGTGGGTGGCATATCCAGAGGTGGTCCCACACCGGGTGGCATTAAAATGGGCGGGTATATTTGGGTGTGTCTTTGATAATGAACCTTCAGATTTCCTTTGGTGGTGAATTTACTGCCACACACATTACACACAAATGGCCGTTCGCCTGTGTGTGACCTCAAATGTATCTGGAGGGCCGAGAAGGAGCCGAAAATCTTACCACAATATTTACAACGATGTTTGAATATCTCTCCCCTTCCCTGACCATCCTTTTGCATGTATTCATATTCATCTTGCATTTGGGAGGCATGTAGACTCTGGGAAGCCGAATCGAGGACCTCTTCAGTTCTACGCTGTAGCATTTCCAGGCAATTCGTTTCACTGGGCGGGGGTATGGGATCATGGTCGGTAATGATGGTCGAGGCCAATGATGAGCTAATGCCGCTCAACAAGGGCTGATAATGGGGTGATTGCACTTTATCTTTATCCTTGGAATTTTTCGAAAATTCATGATCAGTCTTGCTGCTTTCTGTGTCCTTGATAGTTTTTGGTGAATGGCTCCGTTCGATTTCTTCTGCAGAATTTCTTCTCGTCCTGTTGCTCTGAGTCAAATCTATTTGCACATTTTCTAGCCAGGAATTTTCATTATCCTTCTCTCTGCTGGCATTGTCCTTATGTCTCCTTACCACCTCTTGATGTGATTCCTCCTCCTGTTCCACCTCACCTTCTTCCTCGTCCAGATCTTCTTCATCCTCCACACCTTGCCTATCACGGCGTTTCAATTGACTTTGTAAATGTTGTATAAACTGTAATTGCATTAAATGTTGCCGCTGTAATATAGCTGCCAGATCGGGAGTAGGATTATCACCAAAATATTGAGAATTGGCCAGGGCGGAGGCAGCAAATTGAGCCACAGCTACTTTGGTATGTTGCAACGCTTCCAATGCCACATGGCCCTTTGAGGCCAGGCCATTTGGCAATACCGACAAATCTAAAGCTTCTTCTTTACTTGGATGATCGGAGACACCATTGCTGGTCTCCTCTTCTTCCTCCTGTTCCTCAGCCATTTCTTCATTATTCCCCTTAGAATTTTGATTCCCCACCAAGGGGCTACGAGGACTCTTGGGCTCATCCTCACGTTCATCTGTTGGGGTTTCACTTTTGCCCGACATTATATTGCTATCATTATCATTGTTATTGCTATCCGGATCTAAATCTTTGGTAAGGGTTGGCGGACTCCCGGGGGAACTATTCGTGTTGTTCGCCGTTCCACCACCACGATAATTAATACGATTGTGGAAGATCGAACACATGGTGGAAATTTAAACGTTAAAATATTTTGATGTTTTTTTCGAGATGCTATGGAATTTCCATAAAGTCTGAAATGAAAATTGAAAACAAGAAAATAAGGCATTACAAAATCACAGAATATCGGAGGAATAAAAAATGGATGATGACAAAATTCCCATAACAAATTTTACCCAAAAGACCATTGTGTAATTCCAAAAAAAAATAACAGTTGGCCTGGGACACCAAATGAGTCCAGTACAATGACCGCCAAACAAAACAACAAAAATCAATCAGCCATCGAAGCAAATCACACCTCTTATATGACCAATCGCTGGACAACAATCTGCAAATACTACCGTCATATCGCAACTCAATCGCCCATTATATATGCACATATTGGACCACATCAGTCAGTTCCTACTACAGCTATTATTTTATAGACCGCCTGCCGATCTGCCTACCCTCCCCGCCATATATATGAGAAATTCTCAAAATGAATATATGAATAGTTTTAGTTATCGCCGAGGATTGGATGGATCGATGGATTTTATAAATTTCTTTATGAATAAATGATTATTTTACGTCTACGCAAATTTTTGACTCAGACTCTGTTTCAAATGCCCAGTGAGCGATCATTCCCGCTGTTGCAGCTATGGTCGTCAGCGATTACCATGGGGCCAGGCCAATATAACTGAATATTGTATTGATGCCAACACCAAAAGCCCATAGCCCATTTGTAATTTATTAATATATTTTCTCTGTCAACCAAACCCAACTAAATTGGATTTATTCTGTTTCGAGTGCGCACATTGACAAACGAAGTCTGTTGTTATATACCAAAATTTATTAATTTATTGTTTTTTGCTTAATTTAATTTATTATTTCTGAAAAGTCATTTCAAAAGCCATTGGTCCAGAAGGAATTGTTATGATACTGCAACTGTGGTTTTTCTTTCTTTTATTTTGTCGTTGAACTTTTATCGTTTATTTGAAATCGAGAAACAGAAGTTTTTTTTTTTTAAATATCAATCAGGAATATATGATGAGGTGTTGTATATTGAAGGAGTTAAGTGGCAGTGGGAATAATATCAGAGTTATAAGGTGGCCAAGGTTTGTTATTGTTTAATTTTGTATTTGTAACAAGTGATCCAAAGACATAAGAGCAGCGAACGATGACAACAAGCATTGCGATCAAACCCAATTTTATCGGAGAACATTTTTTTGTTGGGAATTGATTTTAAACGTATTGATTAGGAGGATATAAACTAGAAGGAAATTTAAATTTAATTGATACATCAAGTGGTTCTATGCATGTAAGGGTTTAAATCCGATTGCTATTCAAAATCTATATTTATGCACTACACCACATAGTGGTAAGGGTATTATGTCTTTGTGGATGTTTTTTGTAACATGGAGAAGGAGGCGAGATAGACCCATAGCTACTTTTGAGGATATTCATAGAATCACTTTCTGAGTCGATTTATGCATGTCAGTCCGTCTGTCCGTCCGTCCATGTATTCTTGTGAACTAAATGCATGTCGCATTTATTATCCGATTGGGATGAGATTTTACAAACAATACTTGTTTCCCCCAAGGACAACTCTATCGCAATTGGTGAGAATCGGTTTAAATTGAGATATAGCTCCCATATACAGGATGAGATAAAAAAACGGCATCTAAGTCAATCGCCATAATTTTTACATTTTTTTTAATTTATTGAATGAAAGCAAAAAATGTCGGAAATAGCATCAAATTTTATAATAAGTTTAGATTTGTATGAACTGGTCACCTTTGACATGAATTGTGACCAATGCAACCGTCACACGCTGCCCGAATGTTGCTCTGCGGTATTTTGCCCCGTTCCCGGCGAAGCGTTTGCTTGCGGTGATCGACCCTTTGGTATTTTTTAGTGTCAACCATGCATTCCAAAATAATCCAGACACAATAATCCAGACAATAGTGGTATCCGGAGATTTTGGTGGTCATTTTGCGCTGACAATGAAGCGAGGAACCTCATTTTGTAACCATGTGCGCGTGCTGAGTGCGATGATGCTGAGTCCTGTTGGAATTCCAAGGTCTGCTGCCAAAATGTTTGCGTGCCCAAGGCTTTAATACACCCTCAAGAATATTTTCGCGATAATATTCGGCATTTATTCTGACCATCGGCTGTTATGGCGGCCCACACCATCACCATGACCGGCGCTTGAGTTCTGGTGGCCAACCGAAGATGCACATTTTCAGTTGACCTCTTTAACAAGTAAACACGAAGACTTTGTTTGTTTACAAACTACTGGACAACGAATGTTTTCTCATCGAAGAAGACCAAATTCGGCAGTTCACCACTTTCGGCCAGCGAAGCAACGTTTTAGCTCTTTTGAGTCTATTTTCTTTCTGTTGCAGTTTAAGTTCTTGCACTTTTTGGATTTTCAACGGATTTGGATTTTCAATGGGGTAACATTTTACCCTCATTTTTCAATATTTGCCGAGTGTTCAGCTCGCGAGCCATTTTTCGGCCACTGTGACGCGGGTTTCGATTAAGTCGCTTCTTTACTTTTCGAACCATTTCTGCTGATGTTACTGTTTTCTTCTGTCCACTTCCTTGACATCGGGCTACGCTACAAGTATCAGGGTAACGAGCGATGGTACGAGACACAAAGGATTTATTCACATTTAAATGCCGAAGTACTCTAACGATAGCCACTTGTAATTTTCAAGCCAAATATAAAGAAATCACACTATCAAGCTTAAATTCCATCACGAATAACTTTTTTTCTGGAAAATTCTCACTAAAATGTTTTTGTACGCATGTTAATAGTATAATGAGCTGTTACTGGAAAAATTTTAGAAGCAGTCGGACGAGTGGCCTTGAATGTCTGAAATTGGTTGCAGTTTTTTTATCTTACCCTGTATCCTGTTCTGCCAGCTGAAACCCATTTCGAACAACAAATACCAATTTTAAGACAAATCCGTGGAAAATGTGTATCGTGATGTCAGAGAGACAGACAGGCAGAAATCGTAAAAAAAAAAAAAAATCGGGTATACTACGAATTTTAGGGATGTTAAAAACGGAATGACAAAGATAATATACCAATCTTTCCAAGATGGAGGGTATAAAAAAACATAAAGTTCGACGAGTCGTATTTCAATACCCTTTACCATTTGGTAAAAACCGTTTTTAAATAAAAATATCTGATGAAAAACGTGTTCCACTAGCAATTAGCGGTTATATGGGGGATATACCAATTAGTTTACCCAAGACGAACATTTTTTGCAAGGAGAGAACAGACCTACCGAGAACCCCAATTGTCAAGTTCAGGTAAGGGGGCTATGTCAATTAGTGGACCTGTAGCGAATATTTTTAAAGGGAGAGAACAGACCTACCAAGTTCCCCAAAACATAAAGTGATTTCAACAGACAGACAGAGGGACGAACATCGCCAAATCGACTTATAATTCTATTCTGATCAGGAATATACATACTTTTCGGTTCTGCAACGAATATTTCGAAATGTTTCAAACGGAATTACAAATTTAATATACCCTCCATAAAATAGTGAAGGGTTCTAAAAAAGTACAAAATGAGTGACTGACTTACTAACTGATTCACCAACGTATAGGCGGAACGACTGATGCTAGAATCTTGAATTTTTGCATGTGGTTCAATGTTGATGGGTAGTACTAAATGGTACTTACTTTGATATTTGCGTAAGACATTGTGTTGAAAATGTGTGCTACAATTACACGAAAAGATCAATTTGGTATTGGATGAACAGATAGTGCTTGAAATCTGAAATTTGGTATAAGGCTCGCTGTTCATGTGGAGGTTGTTTCGGAAATGTGTACTATAAATGTACGAAAAATACTTGAAGGTATTAAATTTGGTATTGGGTGAAAGGATAGAGATATAATCCCGAAATTTGATGTTGAGGTCTCTGTTGGTATCTAGGATTAAGATATGTAGGTGGTTGTGGAAATGCGTACTACAACTGTGAGAAAGTACTAAATTTCATATTGGGTGAAGGGATAGAACTAGAATCCTAAAATTGGATATGGATGTCACTATTGGTTTCTGTGGTTTAGATAAGGAACAGATTTTGGATATGCGTACTATAATTGTACTAAATAGTACTATATTTGGTAATGAGGGAAATTTCAGAGCAAAAATGTTGAAATTTTATATTAAGGCCAAGGTTGATATTTGAGGTTGAAATATAGAGATTGTTTTGCAAATGTGTACTTTAACTGTACGAAACGAATTAAATTGTACCAAATGTGGTAGTCGGTGAAGGGATAGGGCTGAAATCCTAAAATTTAATGTGGATGTCACTGTTGTTACCTGTGGTTGAAAAGAGGATCTAATTTTGGATAAATTTGATATAAAGGTACTATAATTGTTCGAAATGCTACTAGTCCAAAATGCAACACCGTTGGGTGTTAGAATAGAAATGTATCGAGGTCACTGTTGGTTTCTAGGATTAACATATGAATATCGCCAAGAAAATTGGGCGGCGACAGTTGCTTAATATTACGAAGATCAAATACAATTCTATCATAAAATATTGCAAATATAACCAAATTACTGGATAGCCTAGGGTGTTCAAAAATGTGGACCTAAATGAACAACTTCCTGTCAATGAGTCCCAGGCTCAAACGGTACAGCTCAAAAATTTCATAAAACCTATCAAGGTGCAGGATATTTATTGAGCCCTCATATTGGGGTCATATGCAGCAAAAATTTGATAGCCGCATGTGGCGCTTTCAGCATTACATGTAATGACTACCGCATACCCTTTTCATTACCGGCATAATAAAAATAATGGCGACTGCAACTGCAATAATGGCAATAGTGAGCTAACAAATAATGAGTTATTTTTATAAAATTTACAACGTAAAATAACTTACTTTTGTCCTACCAAGTAATGAGTAATGGCGGCACAGAATGGCCTCGTCCGACTTAACCACATTGGGTTATGACGCTTTTGAGGACACACACACCCGTCGAAATAGTTATTATTTTCAAGAGACCAACGGGCGGACTAACATTGTGAAATCTTTGTACTTTATGTACTTTGCAGGGTTTAAAAATAATCA